AATATTTCGCCCAAATATGCGACACTCTTCGCCAGCCAGACCTTGGCATGCGACAAATGGCATGTGCGGCATTTCACTTTAATTTGAAGTAGACTTTTCCGAATGGAATCTACACTTTAAAGGCTGGCCAGGATCCATTAGGCGGCGGTTTCTGTCTGGACTGGGGTCCAGGGACGGGACATGGACAGGGGCTGGCATGTAACGTGCAAATAACAAATAAATGGCCAACTAAAACCCACATCAATCAGGTCATGTTTATGCGGGCGTGCAGCGCTTGAGTTTGCTCCGTATTCGCAGGCTGCCTGCCCCTGCCTCTGCCTCTGCAGCTGGCCTACGGCTGCCTTGGCAGTCGAGTCGCTTCTCCACGCGATGCTGCGATTCTGCAGGAGCCTGGCCAGCAATATAATGCAATAAGTTAGCGTTATTGATGTCGCTGTCAAACAGACAGAACGACAACAACAACTGAAACAGCTTTAATAACATTAACACAGTCTCCACCAACACCAAGCACGGCACACTACTCGTAAGCCAAACTGACAAGTCAGTCCTTTGTTATGGTTGCACCTCATCGCGGCGCTAAATCCAGACAATCTTTACAAGCTCCGAACAACATCACATGCATATGCCTGCTACATAATTTAATTTGGCAGTTAACTGGGATCGGGCACCTTTAGTTTCAGGATTCATAAGCCCGTCCAGCAGGTGCCGAGGAGCCTTGGTGGGTGCACATCAGCCACGTATACTTAATAATTTAGGAATAGCTTTGCGGTAAATCCAATACAATTTTGATTTTTCGATGCTTTTTCGATTGTATAAGATGGTACAATTTGTACTTCATTTCTGGTTTGAAGATTAAGTTCAATAGTTGGAGGTAGCGCCATAAAATTCAGAGCGACACTGTCGGGTAAAACTTGTACTTCATTTATGGTTTGATTAAGTTCTGATTAAGTTCAATAGAGGGCGGTAGCGTGTCAAAAGCGTAAATACTCAATAGTGGCGGCAGCATGAAGTTAATGCTGTGAGTGCGAGTGAATAGGCAACATCACACAGGTAAGACAACTATATGGAGATCGGCGCGAACTTTTAGTTTTTTTAAATTAGGGAAATTTTTTATATGTCAGTTTTTGGAACAGTGTTACGCCAGTTGCAAATAATAATAACTGATGACATATATATCTATATATATTTTGTATATTAACATGGCCACTTACAATATTCTGCAAAGGCTATAATTAAACATCTAATTGGGAGTAAGAGCCATTATTAATGGCACATGACATGGCATTTGCACTATAAAATGATGGATCTCAACGGTGCGAAGTTTATTGAATCATTTACTTGAACGCGAATCGGAATTAGAATGTGGAAAAATGAGTCCCTGCCCAGCCTGCGGTTGATCCTGTCAATGCTGATGATATGCACAGTGAAAGGATTTAAATATGAGTTCTTGATCGATGATGAGGAAATATTTACTTCGTGCCCAAACCAACCGCCGGGGGTGCTTGGAACGGATGGATTGTTCGATATGTCAGAGTTCAAGACGGGTCATTAAAAATGATGTATTAACCATAGGAGGAAACCTGACATCAAAATGGGACATGGATGTTACGGACCTCGTTTCGGTAAGTTGTCCGTCGATCCAATACGGCGGTCTACACCACAGCAATGCCTATTATTGTCCTATTATTTTAGTTCGAGATAAATACGTTCCATAATGATCGTGGTACATGGCAGCCCACCATATACAGCATCAACTCCAAGGACTTTTGCAGTATCATGTACAATAAGAACTTCTACTGGTACACCTATTGGACCAAATACGTGATCAACAAGAAGGAGGTGGAAAGTCGCTGCTTCATGCTGGGTGTAAGTGAGCAAACATATTCCTGTTCTGTTGCCCTGAATGGATTGCTGTGTCTTATCCGTTTTGTAAATTTCAGACCAAACTAATTTTTGAGACTTACCCACTGCATCTGGTGTTGAACATTGGCAACGCCCAATTTTCTGGAATGTATAAAGTGCAATATTCGATCGAGGCATACAGTAGGACGGGCGAAAAGCGACCAACCAGTTTCTGTTTTGAAGTCAGAGGAGAATTCCGAAAGGTTAAATAACGATCACTGAGGGGATCATTGAACCATTAAATTATACAGCTAGCATTCATCAATTAAATCATAATTTCTTTACACTTAATTTACACCTTTTTAACGCTATTACAAATAATAATAAAATGGCATCGTCTGTGAAGTGGCTGTAAATCAGCAAGCACTTTACATATTTGCACTTCCGATCCACAGCCAACAGCAACAGCCAACTTCCACCATCGTCAAACCTTTTGTAGTTGCTTACTTCCCAATTTACTTATTGGCTTACTCTACATACTCTGTCTGTCTGTCTGTCTGGTCTGTGCATTTGGGCCATGTACACGCATTTTATTTTTCCCGGGCATGACCATTTTTCCACTCGAGCGCAAGATGGAACGAACCATTTTCATCCGACTTCCGTCAAGTCGGCTTTAAGCCGGGTTGTCTCTCGGCCGGCTCGGCTAGTCTCGGCCGCAGCGTCGCCTTACGTAACATTTGCAAATTGCAGTTTTACTTCTTCGCCTTCGCGGTACGTACATACATATGTGTGTACACTGTACATACTCGAATATTGGCTCGCCTTCGCCTTCGTTGACTCGTTGCGCATACGCCGTGTGTGCGGTGCAGCGGTTGCATGGGAGCGAGGCAACTCGAGAGTCGACTCTTGGGCGGCCGTTGTGCAAGCTCGTGACACAAATTCTTTGGCGCATTCGGTGGTTTGGTAATTTCGGTTATTAGCTTGGTGTTGGCGCGAAAGGCAGCCACCAGTCAGCAGCTAGCAGCCACCAGCCAGTGGTCGCTACCGGTTTTTATACCGGGGGTACTTTTCAAATGCAGTGCGAGTATTTCCATTTTGGGCTGCTCTGGAAAAAAAAAATAACAAATCAAGCATCGAATTCAATTCAAAAACCGCCAACGAAACACGATCAAAGCAGAGGTGAAAAAAATGTGCTTTAAACTTTCTTTTTATGCGCCACTTTTAGCAGTCATTTCTTTGAGCAAACATTCGTAGTTGTCGCTCCATTCCCTCCCCGTTCGTTAGCCGCTTCATTGATTTTCATTTACACCGCAGACACGCGGCTGCCATAGTCACAGCCACCACCACCAGCCCCACAGACGTCGCTGACATCCGTGCCGTGCCGCCCGTAATTGTTGCAATTTAGCAACGGCCTCCGCTATGAGGTAACTCAGCAGCAGCGCCCTGTCCCCGGACTTCAACGAGGCTTCAAAGAGTGAAAGAGCGAGTGGCAGGGCAACTGTTTGGGCCAGGAGAGCCTCTGATTTGAATTTTTGGGGAAATGCTCCAACATTTGCATACCAATTGGCTGCCACTTAAAATATATTCGATTAACCAGCCTATTGTAAATGACATAAATATTTAGATTGGCCTTTATTCCTCCATCAGCGGCATTGTCTCTGCTGCAATTTGCGCAAGACATGCAAACGCTTTCACTGACCCGAGCGGGGCAACACAGCCGGAAATTGACCTGCAACTTGGTAAATCACTTTTTTTTGATTGGATTTTGATTTATTTTGATGGATTTTAATGGGATTCGATGCATGACAAATGCATGCGCCTCAGTCTCAGTCTCGGACATCTGTGGGGCAAAGTTCCAGCATTATTTTTACTCTGTTATCCGTATGCGATTCTCCTATTTCATTTCACTTGATCTCTTCGAGGCACGACACGTTGACGGAAATGTGTGAATTATACGGTGAGTATATGGCAAAAGTTTTCACCACCAAGCAAACATTTTGCTATTAACGTTAAAAGTTCATTGCGGTTTCGTTTCTAAATCTTTCGTTTCGCCGCTTTTTATTAGCTGTTCAAAATTACCTTAACTACTAGGGGGGGCTGGGGCGGGGGCTTGTCTGTCGTTGGGCACTCCATGTTCATGTCCAGGGGTCGATAATCGTCTCAAAAGTTCATCAGTCTCTCGGATAGTTCATCATTTGTTGTTGTTACCAGCAGGTAATGCGATTGTTAGACGTTGTTGTTGGAATCTGTTTCGGTTACCCATAAGAGGCTTGGTAGCCTCTTAACGGTATCGTGCAATGTCTTAATTAGGCTACACAAAATGCCATGAAATATTGTTAAATGAAACTCAATGGGCGTGCCCAGAGCTACCGTACATTAATGTTTTTTTTTCCATAATTAAGGGGATTAGTTTGCGGGAGAAGTTTACGCTTGGTAATTGATGATGGGGAATGCAAGATATTAGGGAGGTGATGGCATCTATTGTGAAGTATAGTGGGAATTTATGATCCCTCAGGAAAATCAACTTTTAACAGTTTATATTGTTGATGCTGTTAAATATTTATCTGTAGATTTTGCTGGAGAATAATTACAAGATGAAAGTCTATTCGCAATACGGATTTAATATAGGATATAAAAATATATTCCGAATATAAGATGTACTTCTTTGATAATGGAATGGACAAATATCGCTTATGTATTTATTGCACAATGCGAACATCCTAAATGAGGCATTGATCATAAGCAGTTCCAGTCTTTATAAAACCTTAACTAATTTCTGGGATAATATCAAGCCATCGCATTCATTTTCATTCCCCCCACTCAGTTCGTTGGCTTGGGCTGTGCTTTACTTTTTTCAGACTCCAGTGCTTGCATGTTTTTTGTTATCTATACAAAAAATACAAAAAGTAACTATATCAGATGCGAATGCATACATACATACTCTCTCTCGCACAATCACCCTCGCGCTCTATCTCTCTCTCGTAACATATCGCGCTCTCTTTCCTTTTTCGCTTTCCATCTCTTTCAGTTGAACGCTGCACAGTGCTCTCCACGCTCCAAGCTCCAGGTATTGTGTTGTCGCATTTTGGCAGCTCTTGGGCCTGCTGCGCTCGTCTTGGGGTTTCAGTTTCGTTCACGACTTCGGCGCGTTAGGCAGCAGCAATCGCATCAGCAAACGACTGTAACATCCACAACACATACAACACATCCACTACATCACTTTGTGGCTCGGCTCTTTTATTACGTGTGCACTATAAAAAAAAGTAAAATTTATAAATCCAATTACGTGTTTTACCAGCGTGCGCTCATCGTCTCATGTCGTTGTCGTTGTCGCCGTCGCAGTTGTCGTTTTCGTTTTCGTTGTCGTTAGCCGCCTCTCCTTGTCCGTCCAATCCACGTTTTGGTTAGCCAAAGCCAAAACCCGAATAGACTTAAAACAGCTGTTTGCTCTACAGCTGGGCCAAAAGCGAAGACAAAGCGAAGCTAAATAGCAATATGAAGTTCGGTGCCTAAGTCTTTTGTTTCCCCCAGCACTGTGCAGAGGCGCACGCGAATTTCCGTGTAAGAAGAACAAACTGAGAGCAGAGTGTACCTAAACAGAAACACAAACAGAAACAAATCGCATTAAACAAGACTGTTTTAGTAGCGAAGGCAAAAGGCCCAGTGGAAACCAGTTGTGCAACTACAATTCCGAATATTCCCAAGCCTTTTACTAGCCAGAGCCCGTTCCCGTGCCCGTGCCGGCTCCCCTGAACCCAGACCGCAAAAAAGGTGAAGCCCCTGCAGCAGATCATCGACAGCAGCGCAGCAGCAGCACCACTACAGAAATCGAAATGGCACCGAAGAAGGAGGCAACCTTGAGCCAACAGCAGCAGCAGCAGCAACAACAACAGCAGCAGCCTGTCATGGACTTTGAAAGGATAAAGCGTCACTTCAGCTGGTCGGATCCCAGTGCCATGTGAGTCAGTGCTAAGGGTATTATTCGTAGTTGTAGCTTCAGGTTTTTACATCACCATAAACAGCTGCCTTAATGGTCCATAAAGTAGTCGTTAAGCCGAGCAACGAAGCCCCGAAACGGAACGGAACCGAGTCAGCATCAGTCAAAGCAATTCGTTCAAGAAGCGATCATCCAGCAGATGCGATCGACGATAGCCATCTACTAAGCAATATAATATAAAGTTCGTTGCCAAAGTCTTTCGATTGCCTTTGCTTTGATTTGTGTTACCCTCGGGCCAGGCAGCGGCAGCCGACAGGTAAACAAAAACTGGTTGGCTTTGAAATCGTGTGGCTCAAGAACATTGGGTTTCCGTTTCGTTTCGTTTCGCTTCGATTCAATGGAGTTGTGTTTTATTGCCGTTTGACCGATTTTTGAACCAAACTCATGGAGAGCCCAACATTGCATAACGCCGCTTATCGCACGTGTTTGCTGTCAACGGAATTGAAGTTATTTTTGGAAAACAGACAGATTTATCGGTAATTCATAAGAACTGGGAGAAACATTCATTAATTAAGGGAGCTATAGAGAGTGTGTGCATTTATGGAGATGCAGCGGCAGTGAATGACACTTGAATAGGCAGTGAATTACTCAGTGGTGCATTGGCCAAGGGTTACATGACGTTGGGGGGCTAAGTGAAATGCAAATTTAGACGACTCATCATCGATGATAATGATAATCGAAATTAGTTGCAGCGGCAAGCTCTGTTTGTCCTCGTGCAATTGTGCCCGTAAGTATTTGTTTTCGCTGTCTTACAGCACTTTCTGCGCACATTCCGCGTCATGCTTATTCGGCGCTCGGCTTTAATTGCATTTACGAGGAGCACCTCACATGCTAGGCAACAAAATCAGCCAAAGGCAAAGAGTGACGAGTGAAATTTGCAATTATATAAAATACTTACGCTATCAACTAACAAATATATAACAAGTTGCGGCGCATGAGGGGCCACTGAGGCCCATACACAAACGATTAAAAATAGAACCCCAGGGTCACCGGCTACCAGAGAGTAGAAGTAGCAGAAGGGTGCAGAGTTGGGCAACGGCTGGTTGGCTTTCAGCACTTGGCACTTTATTTAGCTAATTGCTAATTTCAATAATTTCCCAACGCAAATCTGCAGGCAGCTAGCAGCTCGTTTACCCGTCATAACTAGCGAACAAATAATCGTTTTTCGTGCAAATTAACGTTCATCATCATCATCATCATCCTCAACGCATTCGCAAGCGGCGACAATTGGGCGCCGATCCCAGACCAGATTCCTGTTGCAGCCAAACATCCGGCAAGACGCTCCGTTCCGATCGATTGAACATGATGTGTGAAAATTATTTGGCCATAATTCAAAATTCAATACACTTGTATTCCCCTTTAAATCGATGTATGCGAAACTCTCCGGTTTATGTAAATCTGAGTTTTTTGTCATTAACATATGCAGAGCTTCTTCTTTGATTTGGCTTAGTTTGTGAATGATATAATATGGGCAGCACCCAAGATACATATGAGATATGCTGCACAAGGGTGTGGGTATGCAATTTGAGAAGGGGTGCGTCGAAATTGATCGAAAGTTAAAAGAGAATCAACCCCTAAGCCCCCCCTTTCGTACATCACTGTCCTCTAAGAAAATGTTTGCCAAAAGCCAACACCACATTAGCATCCAAATAGGGTTTATTTTAAGGTAAGGTCTTCTTTAACCGGACCGCAACACTGCCTCGTCTAAATGAATTAGTTTGTTGGTTTTGGCGGTTTCTCTCTTTTGATGGCCTTCATTATACAATATCCACGGCTCGATCGGCTGCTGCGTCACTTCCGCATGAACTAGTTCAGTTGTGAATGGCCAGGAAAATATTGGGAAATCAGTATGTGTTGTGTTTTTCTTACTGGACCGCCTGGCGTGCCATTAATTGTTGTATTGTACCTTTTGGCTGATTGCCGATGATGCATGTTGTGTGCCCGTATGCCCGTATGCCAAGCACGCCCCCACACTCCACTCCATACCATACTGGCCGAACGGGTGAAACTGTTTTAGCACGCGTTTGGGATAAAAATTCTAATTGCTGTACAATTAAAATTCCACAACCATGAAACCAGAAATGGACAAACGCTGGACAGCAGCGCATCTGTTGCTGAGCCGGGGCTGCGGTTGGGGTACAATAAATTATAATCAGTTAATAGAGCTTTTTATCTTGTTGCTTAGAAATTAATATACTTAAATATTTACATTTTAGGTATACAAAGTTCGTGTGTTGATTAGTGTTGAAAGCTTTTTGATCGATGTTTTCAACCGTAACCGTCGATATATTTCGTCGTTCCCCTTCTCCACATGTACTGCGAATGTAAAAACGTGCAACTACATGTAAAGTAAAAAATAATTACATAGCTTTCGCGTCTGTTAAGTTAGCAGAAAAGCTTTTCGTCTCTGCTAAGTTACGCTCAAGTTTTTACGCTTCCACAGAAGCGACTCAAAACGTTCCGTCTCGTTATTATTTCAAATTTTTTACGCACTTTTCGACTTTAGCGAAGTCTTTGGCAAAGGAAATGGAATGGAATCAGAGAGATCATTATATACCTGTAATATTTCTGATGACTTTGGAGCTGAGCTCTCTAATTGACTTCAAAGTTCAACAAGCTAATTGTATTAATTTTTGATCTGAGGGAACTCTTTTTTGGTCATATTCTTGAAAAATGGCAGACGCGTCTAGAACTCTGTTGATCTTTAAGCGTACCCATTAAGGTTATATTTTTAGATCTAATGTGCTGTGCCCTCAAAGGCCACAGAACGTACCGAGAAATGGCGATGTCATCTTAATAAAAATTAATACAACACGCCGTCGCTCGCAATGACTGACAATGAAAGATTTATATCCGCAAAATGCGAATGTCAGTGGCTTTTGATTTCCTGAATAACCTTTACGTTTGAGTCGCCGGCAGACTTTAGAATGTAATTCTGAGTTATAATGAATGAACTCAATCACGTCGGCTTCCCGGTAAGTGTCCTGAATCCCCAGCCTGTCACATAAATTAACGGCAATTCTTTGGGTCGTTTTCTTTGACAGGTGAGGGACAATGACGTCACTTGTGGTATGAACTTTTGCCAATACTTTCACCGACCCGACCGCTCGGTTGCAAGAAGCCATATGCATTGTCTCAGAGCAGCAGTTTTCGGTGTATTTGCTCGTGGCATTAACAGCAATTTGGCCCGCCTGCTAATTGGCTCGAAATGTGGTCGAATAGGAATAGGTGGCCGGGCAGGGCAACAGAAGACCAACAGATAGCATTGCCCAATGCGGGCCGGGCCAATCAAGCTGGCAAAAAATCTCAAATGCCGTGCATTGTGTGCCAAAAAGTTTTCCTCAGATACTCGTAATTACAGACGGATACACATATTCAAAACGTTGAGCCCACTCTGCTCCAACGGACGTCGCTCCGGCCAGCTTTCGGTTTTCATTTCATTCGGTTTTAATGCTGCGGCTTGTATCTTTTGCTCATTTGCCAGTTTACAAGAGACCTTGACACATTTGGGGCGTTGTGTTTTTTGTAGCTTTGGCCAAAAAATCTTCACGAATTATAAAAACCAGCGACGATCTCCAGCCACATTCACATCCAAAGGCGAGTTCATTTCCAATCCGAAAATGGACCAACAAGCATTACAAAAACCAAACGAAGCGATTGCAATTTCGTAGATATCTGTGTTAATGGGGCGTCGACAGCGTCTAATTGTAATTAATTAAGCCAAGCCGCTTGCATTGGCAGCGCAGCTCTTTTGCATTTGCCAGACGCTAAACACCAGTCTATAGTGGAGTCTGAGTTGAGCTCCAGCTCCAGCTACAGCGCCGCGTTGCGTTGCAACAATTGCATAACATTTGGCAAGCACCAAAAGAAACAACTTTTGAGTCACCGCTGCTGACGACCCTCCAGCGCGCCCAACTGCAGCGGGCACGGCACGGCACGCGAATTCGCCAAACTGTAGAGGAGACAATGTCGTGAGTGCAGTCGTGTCGGTCGTGAGGAGAAAAAATTTCCCCTTTAATGCTTCCCAATTGATTAATTTCAGCTCTCAATAGTTTATTCTCGACTTTTGAATTATTTTCCATACCTTTTTACTGCCCTTCACGATTCCATCACCATTTTAGGCGTAATAGGCATAAAAGAAATAGGTGATTAGGACACAGCACGAAGGCGAGACGAACCTGAGCGAGTGGCGAAAAACGAAAAACGAGTTTCAAGCGAAAGGGAAATTTTATCGCAAAGTGCAATTCGTTTTATGAGCTTGAAATTGCTGCCGCAGCCGCCGTTGTCGTCGTAGTTGTCGTCTTGATGCAATTAATTTAAAGCCATGCTGGTGCTGGTGCTGGTAGCTTCTGTCACTCCAGTCAGTCCATTCCTCTGGCAGGGCTTCCCAGCCAACTTCCTCGTCCCAGTGGCGACCTTGTGCCCGTTTTCACAGCAGCATAAAAAAGTGAGAGAGCAGAAACAAAACCGAAATGAAATTGTCTGTATGAATGGGCATTGGCAGGGGACTGGGAATGTTTGGGTTGCGGGGCGGCTATAAATGCGCAATGGAGCAGACAATACACAACAAAAACAACAAAAAAAAAAAGATGTAGATTTGAAATGTGCACATCGTGAAACAAAAGAGGCTGAAACAGAAACGGAGACAGTAAGTGAAGCTGTCGCGAGTGAAATTGATGCCATGGCAAAACCTTAAAATGTTGTCAACCAATTTCTTTAATGCTTTTTGGACATTTGCGCTTGCTGTTCGTTGTGTTGTTGTTGTGGTTCGGGCCAAATGCACTGGCCAGGCGGAGTCAACAAACTCGTCCAAGGTGTCGCTGCCATAGCATGACTTGCCTAAAGCCGAAAGACTCAAGCCTCAAGCCTCTGAAACAAAACAAAGACAAAGACATACTTAGAAAATTGCAAGCAGATTTGTTTTGGATTTGTTTTGGCTGTTGTTTGTTGTTTATTGTTAG